GCTTCTTAAAAAATTAAGTATTTCACCCATTGAAACATTTTTGTTTCATATATATATTTCAAACTAAATTAATCAATAATAATGCGTAGCTCATGCAAAAAGATTTGCGTTTGGTGTGCTTTTGTTTTAGTTTCTTATCTGGGTCTACTTCAATTAATACTATATATCCATTCAAAACCTAAATATCTACCATGTTAGATCGCACCGTCACAGACCATGAATTTGTTTTACGCTTACAGCTATAACAGCTAAGCATTTTATATACCGTGCCCATACCACCTTTCGTAGAGTTATAAAATGATATTATCTCGGATAATTTTTATTGTCACTGTCGACAACAGGTTGAGTGTACACACTATTTTTACAATGGTTTCACTATTTTTGCATAGTAATAGTTTAGGCGGAATACTTTGCTTACTTTTGCTTTTACCCTAAAAGCTTTTACTCTAGACTATGAGACACCCACTCTGCTTGGTTTTTTTCTCGAATTTCACTGGCACCTTTTCCCAAATACGGCTGAAATTGCCACATATAACATATTTCTCCAAAAACGATAAGCCAAAATTTAATGCCATACTTCTCGGGCTTGGAAGACATGCATTGCCGAAATTTACATCGTCCATGGAAGCCAAGTAACTGTTCGTCTAACGTGACACAGGTATGTGGATTATAATACAATGCAAGTAATTTCGACAATCGTTCTCACAGATCCCTTATCGGAGCAAAATTGTCGTCTTTGCGTTGTTGGCGTCGACCAATTATGTCATCATAACAAATAGTTTTGTGCACGTTCAGAAAGATCTTCTTCGGTATAATGGCGCAAAATATCAGACGTTCATAATTAGCATCAAATAAATCCTGTTAATTTTTATTTTTTGACCTAATTGCGAATGTGGAATGACTATAGCCAAGCAGTTTATGATGAAATAATAAAAAATTATACTTATAAACGTCAGCTGATATTAATACCCCAAAGAAGGCGTGCAATAAATCAGCATCAAGTGGAAAATGGTTATTCCCATTCTTTTTATATTTATTGAAGTTTTCAATTATAATCTCTTCGGCTTGAGGCGGAAAGTATAGCTTACACGCATCTATTACTTCTGGTACTCGATTGAACGCATATCTAGTAACAGCTAAATATACACATGCACATGACAATGTCAGTTAAGCGATATAAAACAAATTTGAATTTTTTTTCCTACCGAGACTTCTACTATAGACAATAAACTGCTATTTTTTTTTTAGCCACGTTGATTTATTGAATCTTATTGTTGAAAACTATTAACAATTTATAAAGATAATAAACAATTAAACTGAAAAAATTCTTTAGGCGCAGTAATAGATATTTTTTATATCCAAAAAATTTTTAATAGAGTAAAACATAAGCGACGACAAAATATACTCAAAAATAAATACATAAAAAAAATTAATATATATTTTGTGAAATACATTATGTATGTAAACCTATAAGTGGGAGTAACCGGGGGGTTATCCTTACTCTTTAAAGTAAAAGTTATTTCTACCAATTTTCAATTAGGCTGGGCTCAGACAGTGAATACTGAGTATCTTCTTTCGAAACAGATCAAGAGCTGTTCTTCAGATTTAATTCTAAACTTTATTTACAAAACTTTAAATAGCTTCGTGTAATTAAAAGTGAATTTGATACAATAGGACTGATTTGCAACCGGCTGTTGGGCAAATCACTACACAAGTTAAAAAAAATAAAATTTTCGATGCATACTTAGTGAGATGCTGTCTTCATCAGCATATATTGCCACAATTAAATTAATAGAGAGAAACATTCCAGCTGAAAACGCAGTTTACAGAATGGTTACTAAGAGACTTTCTTATGAGGAACCTGCATTTTTTGAGTTGAATAAAAAATATTTAATTTTTTTTTGCACACGTCAAAGTATTGTCTATTTAAGTTTGTTTACATTTGCAAATAATGTGACAAATTCGTTATATATAATTTAATTCGGTCTTACCATACTCTGTGAACGATTCTTAAACGTCAAGAAACGCTGCTGCACGTTTTCCATTCGAAGACTATAACAATTTCCTAAATTATGTTGTGATATTGCTTAGAAGTTTCGTAGCAGTGACAGGTTCTGAGTTCAAGCGATGTTCTGGTATTGTGGCGTGCCTATAGAAATCAATAGTTTTATATACTCGAATGTTATTTCTAACAATTCAAACTTTATAATATAGCATCCATTTTAATGCTATCCAATTTAAAAATAATATTTATGTTTCATTCTTTGAAATAAGTTTTTTTAATAAAGTTTCTAAAAATACAATTATTTTAAAATCGTGTGTTCAAAATATACACATCCTTTTAATTTATATTGCAGCAATCTTAAAAATTATTTATGCTATTCAATTGAATTATTTTGAATGATATTTGAAAGTGCATTTTGATTGTTTGTGGGCAAACGAAATGCAAACTTTCAATGAAATAATATTTATGCCTCTCTGGCAGAATAAAATGGTATTATTCCCACAAATCCAAAAAAAATAAAAAATCCACTACCAAAAAAAATAAATTTATCAATATTTTGAAAACATTTTCCCTCTGGTATTATAATTATTAGTCTCGTTGTTATGCAAAGCCCGAGCCCATTGGAGAAACTAATCGCATTTGACGCACCATCGTTCACGTTTAGAAGCAGCTTTCATAGCTTTCGATTCGAAGCACGTTTTTCAGTTTAAATTAACACTTTTTCTGCGACGTGCTGTGGTTTGATTTATTCGAACTTCCATTCCAACTTCGTCGGCCTAAATTTGTTCTGTATTGGTAATACGTTTGTGACTGCATACTCCTACAAAAATTAAATCCTTTTAATGTTTCTTTTTTCTTATTGAAAAAATTCGGCCTAAATTAATTATTTTATATTATAGATATCATAATTTCTATTCAATTAAAAAATTAATTAAACTTTAAAATGCAATGTTCAATTTTTATCATGAAATTAAATTAATTTGGTGCTTCAATAAGAATATATTTATTTTTACCTTTAAGTGTTTATATATTTTTTTAAAAAAAAAATTTTTTTATATTCTCTACTAAGATCTTTCTGCTAAAAACATTCCATATATAAAATTGATCATATGGGGCTCAATATCCACATATATTTTAACAAACATTCCTCTATTCTGATTGGACCATTAATACAAATTTTAGCTATAAAAAAAACCACGCAGATTAAAACCGCACAACATAACTTAGTATGATTCTCATGTAAAACCATACAATATTAAGGAAGTGAAAAATATTGACACGATTGAACTTTATAAAACTGGGGATGTTGTTGCTCGTTGGAGTTATGATTTGCACAGAACATTATTTGCTGAAACTCCTTTCATATCGTTAGAGATTTATTGAATATATTTTCTTCTATCCCATATATACATTTACTGTTTGTCGATCTTTATAAAAAAAATGACATTCAAAGGCAATAGCAAGCATTTGAGATTTTAAATTAATTTTGCATTAACACATTAAAATATTATAAGGATTTTGTGATAAGAAAATTAATATGTTTGAAGTAATGTAATCGTACGTAAGGCACTTCACTGATAGTAGTGAAGTCCAGCTCATCCTGTCGGATAGGCGTCCAGAATACGTCCTAAAAGGAGAACCTTACCAGACAAGATATTATACAAACTATATTGGCAGAAATAGTAGCGCCAGAATTAGCAAATTGTAAAAACAGTTGTGTAACTTCGTCTCGATCTTGAATATATGCGCTACTGAAATGACCAAAGCTTCCTAATGTCAATGATAGTGAAAGAAAATTTATATAATTATGGAAAGTATATTTACTGAAATATAAATGTGTGGGTGACAATCACATATAGTGAAAAATGTGATACATGTGGTTGATAATGTTTTATTTTATGCGAAATATTATAATAAATAATTGAATTGCTGTTATTTAAACTCACTTTTTATTCATAGTGTAGTCTTCGATTTTATGTATTTTTAAGTAGCGTTAGTAAAGACAAAGTTATTAGACTTATAAAAAAATAGCCTTTCAGTTTTTTTATTTTACGACGTTTAAGGAAAATTGTACAGATAGTATCGAATTCAAAGGTTTCGTCACCGAAATGATATATTCAACACTGTGATTTTAACAGGTTCATAGTGATAAAGTGAAGCGAAAAAGCTTTTGCAGGAAAACACATTGCAAAAATGCGTAAACGTCCTAAACTAGGACACCACAACGCAACGTAACGCATAGAAGTGTTGCGGTTTGAGTTGTTCCGGTACTATTGCCAGAGTTCTTTTAGATAAATGGTCATCATGGCGAAACCATTGTAGATTTACTTCAGAAACATTTTGCAGTGTATAGTACGAAAATTTAATATGTTAAAAGGATTAGCAGAAAATAATTTTAACTTACAGTCATGAAATCCAATATATACAATATCACAGCTACTCCTTAAACAGCATAAATTGTTCAATACTAAAATTCATGCATAACAATGTGATTTATTTTTAATGAACTGCATACTGGGATGATGACTTATATCAGAATAGACACAATTACTATGGATGAGTCGTTTCTGGCATAAAAACATGGAAATTAAAGAATATGGTGTAAATATTTTAATATAGAGTGGAAACGTCAATAGTGAACGTATTTATATGAATGTTTTTAAAAGCATAATACGGAAATTCAATAATTTTATTCGTATATTATCTAATGATCCATCGTACATTCAATTATTGTATTAATGCATTAATTGAGGAGTTCTGTTTTTAAATTAATATGTTGAGTTGGTATTAGATTAAAAATAAATCTGATTCTTTAGAAGAATTACAGATACGAGATAGCTGTCATATTGTATAATTACCAGGTTTTCGAATAAAAGAATAAAATATATCGGTATATCTCGATTCGGTTTAGCTCTAGTTTAAGCTGGTTCTAACTTCATTTAATATATTTTCACTTCAAATTTTATTACGCATATTTTAATTACATACCACGAAATTAAATTTTTAATAGTTTATTTAAATTCATTTATACATATACATTATTAACTTTTATATTGTATAATTGAGCAAAGTTTTAATAACTCCAACTGCAAAAAAATTACTTCGAATGGGTCTGCAAAATTTTATTTTTGCTTGCATTTTTAAATAAACTTTCTTTCTTCATCTTATTTTACTTCAGAGAGCACGTTTTATTATTGGAATTCACAATTATTTTCATAATAAAAACTTAAACGAGAGGTTTACTCATTAAAAAGGGATTCAAATAATTTACATAAAAAATATAAGTCTTCAACTTACCTTGTTTTAAATTTACACAATTGGTTGTTTCAAGTTTTTATATTTTAAATAGTTTGAGAAGGATTTACGTTGTAAGTTTTGATTCTGGATAATCTACGATAAATATACACATGGAAAAGGAATTTCAGTTATTAATGAATTGGCATACCACTAAATTATTATAAGTACTTGAAAGGCTATATACGTCAAATTAAATAGACAATAATATGGAACGCATCAGTAAAGTTGCGGTAAATATTAATATTTCATTTACAGTCGTTTAGATTTTCATAACACATTCATTACACATACATAGTAAACAATCTGCAAAAATATTCTTGTGAGAAATAAATATTTTTTTAAACATGTTCTTACCTTAAAATTAGTAACATAACAAAATTAATAATATATGATGGAGTTAGTGTCATTCAGATCAAGATCTAGCAATGTATTTTATTGTAATAATAAAAACTACAAATTAAGATAATCTAAAGTCTACTTACAGTTATTTTTGACAGCTGATGTTATGATATGGTAGATTGTACTGACTAGAGGCAAGAGTTGTAACATTGTAATAAGCCCTATAAGATTTGTATATCAATAGTTAACAAAAATAATTTTTTTTTTTAATTCAACTAACATTTTTTCAACCTTGAATTATTTGCAATAAATTTGGGGGCGCATACGCTCGTTGCAGGCTTTACATTTAGCTTACATCTGGGTTTCGCCTTCTCACCATATCTCTTTCGATACATCTTCGCACAACTTTTTTTCGTCAGTTTTACACAAATCTTTTTCTTCTTCTATTAAACAGTCTTCGAGACTATTACTGTTTCTCATATAGTACACATTTTTTCTTAAATTTCAAAGCATTGTTCTTCACCCAAGTCTATCTTGATCTTCGAATTTTTCCATTACAACAGGTTTTTACGACCTGTGACCATATAATACAAATAAATTAATTGTATTTCTACAAGCCGCTCATTTTTTTACAGTATTACTCTTTGGATATTTAATACATTTTTTCATTATAGTACACAACGGAAATATTTTTTTAAATATGCCTGCAAAAAAATTTTAGTGACATGTGAATTTGCATCTATTTAATTTTTATAATTACTGGAATTGGAATACACATTGTTCAAGACATCATTTTTATCCACTTTCATTTCGACATAGATAGTAAACAATCTAAAAAAATATTCTTGCAAATAATAAATTTTCTATATATATATTCTTACCATAATAAATATATAGGATTTTTAAAATCAAGGCTTAAACAGGAACCATAGAAAACACAATTTTTTTTAACGATTTTCTAGGTAACATCAAATTAAAATTAGAACTAAGTAACGCATCAAAATACACATTGTTCAAGACATCTTTTTTATCCACTTTCATTTGGACATACATAGTAAACAATCTAAAAAAAAAAATTCTTGCAAATAATAAATTTTCTATATTTATATTTTTACCATAATAAATATATAGGATTTTTAAGATCAACGCTTAAACAGGAACCATAGGAAACACAAATTTTTCAATGGTTTTTTAGGTAACATCAATTTAAAATTAGAACTAAGTAACGCATCATAATCAACAATATATAATGGCTTTATTGTTATTCAGGCTCAGGGTCTTAGGATACTGTGTATAAAATAATGACATAACATTGTGTTAAAAAATATTTATTCAACATTAAATTGGATGAAAATTACAAAAATGTGCGGTCTACTTACCAGAGTTTGAGGACTATTGTTAGGAAAAGTTTGTTTTATGTGGTGGTATGAAAGACTGGAAGCAAGAGGATGTAACTTTCCACCAAATTCTGTATAATTTTTTTTTAAATTAGTTGTCAAAATTACTTTCGTTTTAAAATCATACTCACATTTCTTTTCCAATCAGTTTCAAAATCATTTAAATTAACAACAAATTTGACGACGCTTTTTCTTCTTCTTGCACGGATTGGGCTTTTTCTTACATTTAGGCTTCTTTTTAGCACACGGATTACGCTTCTTCTTGGGACAACTCTTTTTCTTCTTCTTTGGACAACCTTTTTTCTTCTTTTTCTTTCCACATGTACCACATTCCATAGCTATGTCCTCTTGGAGACTCGCAATGCTTTCCGTATGGTACAGAAGTTTTTCTTTAGATGCTAAACTATCCCATGCTGTTCGCGCTGCTCTTGCCACCTCCAAAGGTGGTAGGTCCGGGTAATGAGTCCTATAATCCTCGACGAAATTTAAATAACTATTGCCCATGCTCATTTTTTTTATATACAAATTGTATCAAGTCAAAACAATTTCACACGAAAAATTTTGATGAGACGGAAAATGTTGTTAACTCAATGTAAAAAAAATTTTAACTAAAAATATTCTATTTTCAATTATACAGAAAATTTTACCTATTCAAAATTTTATATGAAGATATGATTTTCTTTGATCCAAAATTTGATGTTCACTCAAAGTAAAAAATATTTTAACTAAAAATATTGGTTTTGCATTTATTAGGAATTATAAAGAATATTTTTATTGAATATTTTATGTGACGGTAAAATTAATATTTTTGTATTTTGTAAAATTTTTCTATTTGCTTTAAAGAAGTTCACATGATAATCAAGACATATTTAAGAAACAATTCTATTTTTTTTTCTTATATGTCAAGTTGAAATAATTCGTTATTAATAATATGAATAATGAAAATTACGAAGCTATTCTAACTTATTACATATGTTAAAATATTTTTATTAATATTAATATTATATATATTCGCTAAATCAAGAGCAAATGCCACTTATTAAATGTTTCTATCCACTAACATCCCAAATATTTTATTACGAATTCTAACATTTTTTTACTTATCGATATCCATCGATTAATTTCTATATTTATGAATCGGTAGGTTTATTTTTTATGGTTCATAGTTATGATATTTAATTTCACTACGCTTTCTACCAAAAAATTAAAAAAACAATTTTTTGTTAATTATTTTCAACCAGTATACATGACAAACTTTTATGATGAATAAAATGTTTTTTATTTTTAACACTTTGGACATCCGTACCCAAAAACTAGAGAAAAAGAGAACGTTAAGTATAATTTTTAATATATATATGTACCATTGTTATATCACCAACTGTAGTGATCGAACTTTGCTAAAGTTGATTCCCAAACGTCATTACATTATCGTTTATCGTTTTGTTACTTTTCTTAATAAATTGATGACCAATGAACTGAAAAGGTTATTATGGAAACCTGGGTTGTTATTTATAAATAAAAATTAAAAAATTTATTGTTTTACAAAAAAATGAAATGAACAACAAAAATGCATAAAATTTCAAAAAAATTCTGAATTGATGTATAAAAATCAAATCTCTGATGCGTATTTTTTAAATCACACGAAAAAAAAGTTCGCAATTAAATTAGAAAATAGATGCAAAATTAATTAAACTATTATTTGCAATAAATGGAATAGAAATAGAATAAATAAATATCATATCAATATTTCAACTCATATATTAAATATTTAGTAAAAGTCGACAAATAAATCATTTTTTATAATTTATTACTGAATTATTAATATTAATAATTATTATAATTTTATTATAATATATATTAATATATATTATAATACATTACAATATTATTATTTTCAACACTTTATTCAGGAAAAGGTATTAAATAAAGTTGACTTTCAGTGAATGTTCGAACTTGTTTTGTAACTGTGAATAAACATATTATAAATACGTCTAACAATTATGTCAATACATATATAAATTAGATGTTTACTACTTATCGTTTGAGGCTGAATTAGTTGTACCATAAGCAATCAGCTGATCATATTTTTGTAAAAATTAGAAACGGGAAACGAAAAAATTTGTAGAATTCTGAATATTATTGTAATACAGATATTTTTAATTAGCTCCTACAAATATTGGATATCTCTTCATGCGCTAAATATCTGTGGCTTGTATTGAACTTTTGTGTCTTTTTATTGACGTATTCTTTTGATTTGAATGTTCCATAAAAACACGTGGTGCATAAAAATTGACATGTAAAGCAAAAACAAAATTCGCAAAAATAAACCCACTTTCCTGAAGGTGCTTAACGATTAAGCCTCTTGCACTACAATGATACAATGAATCTTTAAACTGATCTAATGTGATTGATTTTTGAAAGAAAATGAAAAACTGCTGTCGGTTGTTTAATATTTACAATTGTTGGGAGTGTTAATGAGTAAATTAAAATATCTTGAAAAAGTTATTTTTTTAATAAAATTTGTGAAAAAGGCTGACAAGTGAGTAATTGTGAAGAAGTCATTCGATAATTATGTATTAAGAAATTTTTCATTAGAAACTATAATACATAAATGAATACGAAAAACAATTGTTGTAAAAAAGCAAAAAGTTGTAAGATAATTGCAAAAAAATGTTATTAACTAGTGATATTACAAGTTTGAAAATTATTTAAACGAATTTACTCACGATCTCATATTGCTTAAATGCCTCATTTAATTCAAACATATACTACATACACTACTATATACTATATATTACATATGAACATTGCTTGCTGTTGACGATATTTAATATTTTCTCATTTTGGTTAAAGCTTACCAATTCATATGAATTTAACAAACTGACACAGTGGCGTAACTACAGGGAAGCAACTGGAAGCAACGCTTTCGGGCCCCCGAATTTAGGGGGCCCCACTATAAATTTTTGTATTCATTGTATTTCTTTTTAATAAATTCTCAAAAGTGGGACGAAACGTTTTTTGTTGGAATAATTTCATATTGCATTTTATAAAAGATACGTAAATTTTAAATTTAAAGTACATAATATGTATGTACTTCAAATAAAATATTAAACCTATTTATGAAATAAAAAAGTTTTTCTAAGAAAAATATGTGTCTTGATCGAGAGTTTATATGGAAGCTATATCTAAATTTAAACCCATTTGAAAATAATTTTGTACGTTGTCTTTTGCAAATATCAGTACTGTATACACCATATTCCATTTGAATACCTTTATTAAAAACGGAGAAACCTTATATCCGATTGTTAAGTTTATATCACAGCTACAAGAAATAGACCTCCAATTTCAATCAAATCAAATGGTGAACAGGGTGCGCTCCCGAAAAGTATGTGTATAAAATTTTATTCGAAGAGTTCAAAAGCTGAGAGAGTAGTTTGAACTGTAAAAGTATACTGATATATACTTAATGGTATTTCCGAAGTTTCCTTTAATGCGTTACGAAAATATTGACAAACCTTATATACCCTTTTTACATTTTTTCGTGTAAAGAGTATAAAAAGAGGGGCCCCTTAGTATGTTGGTAGGGGCCCCTTAGTTAGAATTTGCTTACAGGCCTAAAAAATGTAGTTACGCCACTGAACTGACAACATAATTATAGAAACTATTTAAAGATAATGGTTGTTTATCGATAAAGTTATAATACATTCAACAATACCTTTTTTGTGTTATTAATTTTATTCATGTATATTAACATAAAAACTTTTTTAAAAAATGCAACTGCAAAATTCGTTTGATTTTCTTTCTTGTTATATATCTACTGGTTTAGGCAGTGGTACTAAGTTATTCTTAAGCACCTAAAGTTGTTCTATTAGAGCGATCATTTCAAAAGAATACTCCTCATATTTCCTCATATTAATCACATTTTCTGTGTTTCGTTGATTAGGTGTTCAGAGTTCTAGAAGTATGTTAACTGATTACGTCCTAAGATGTACATATTATCAAGGTTAAAAATCGAGTTTACTATATTATTACTATTTTCTTATCATTTGTTGCTTACTACTAAAGTAATAAAATAGATTTATATCATTTTCGATCAGTAAATGTAGATTTGATTTCAATTTAGGATAATTCCAACATCGTGTGACATCTACATATATGTTAACAGGACAACAACTATTAATTTCAGGGTAATATTATTAATCTCAAGATATATATAGAATGTTATGAATTAATATCGCCTGAGATTAACCGATCCAAAATTTATAAATTACAATTAAAGATTTGCTGTTTGTACAGATTTTGAAAGAAATGAATCATATATGAATCATATAAGCAATATTACAATTACTTGGGATGCACGAGTAATTCATTAGATGCTGTATTAAATTAAAACGGGATTTAGTTTATAATGAAAAATAGGATTTTAGTGGATTTAGTAGTATTTTCTTTTGTTAGACTGACTATGCATATCCCACAGTTTATATAATGTAATTTCGGTCATGAGTCTATTATCCATTGTCATGAGTGGCAAAAATAAGAAACTTTATACTTTAGAAATGCTACAGGTACATATGTAAGTAGACTTGGGGCCATGTTATGCAGAGTGTCTCGGGCACGGCATGAGTACAATTGTTGTTGTTTTCAATGCAAATTTTAAATTTGAGAATGAGAGAAAAAACAATATGGCCGTTCAAACTCCGGCATGAGAGCCGGCGTATTTGTGCCCCGGCACTAAGGCAAAACAGTGTTGTATAGTAATAAATTTCAAAATTTGCGCCTTTTAGGAGCAAACTACTACAATTCTAGTACGTTATGAAGAAAAGATGGCAGTAAGCAACACAGCATTTTTTTTATAAATCGCTAATAATATAATTATTACACTTTCCGATATAAAAAAAACGCGTAAGAACTGTTAACAATTATTATAAGATAATATAATAATAAATTAACATTTTATTACAGCCTCTATGAGTTTTTTCATGCGAGTTATTTTTGGTGGCAAATTGAAAGTGAGCATATCTAAATTTCCTTTTAAATTTAGGCACAACCAAGAAGTAGTAAAAATACAAAATTGGCAATACTGATGTGGCACAAATACGCCGGCTCTCATGCCGGAGTTTGAACGGCCATATTGTTTTTTCTCTCATTCTCAAATTTAAAATTTGCATTGAAAACAAAAACAATTGTACTCATGCCGTGCCCGAGACACTCTGCATAACATGGCCCTTAGGGCCATGTTATGCAGAGTGTCTCGGGCACGGCATGAGTACAATTGTTGTTGTTTTCAATGCAAATTTTAAATTTGAGAATGAGAGAAAAAACAATATGGCCGTTCAAACACCGGCATGAGAGCCGGCGTATTTGTGCCCCGGCACTAAGGCAAAACAGTGTTGTTTAGTAATAAATTTCAAAATTTGCGCCTTTTAGGAGCAAACTACTACAATTCTAGTACGTTTTGGAGAAAAGATGGCGGTAAGCAACACAGCATTTTTTTTATAAATCTCTAATAATATAATTATTACATTTCCCGATTTTAAAGAAACGCGTAAGTACTATTAACAATTATTATAAGATAATATAATAATAAATTAACATTTTATTACAGCCTCTATGAGTTTTTTC